CGCCAGACAAAGCCAGGGCTGGGCTGGCCGCTCAGGACACCTCTGGGCTCACCCTGGACTCTCCGCGGGGACGCCTTTCCCCTGGCCGGCTGGCAGCATCTCGGCGCAGGCGGATTGAGTCTGAGCCCCGGGCTGGGCCCGGGCTCTGGCGCTTGGGAGTCTCCGGGGGCCGCTCCAGCGGTGCCGGGCTGGGGCCTGCCGGGAAGACGCGCGCTCGGAGACCTCTCGACACGTTTACTTACGGAAGGTCTACTGTTGTTGACGGGCTACTTCTCCAGACGCAGACGGTTTGCAAGAATCGCACGAGGGCCTCTTTCCCGCCCTCCCTCGGGGTCCCCAGACGTTCCCGTTTTCTGGCCTCCACTTTGCTTTTCTCTGAGCTGCAGCCAAGACGTCCTTCACCCCGAAACGCAAGCTCAAGGACGCGCGCTCGGACGCGACCGAGAACAGCAGTTCTTGGGGAGCGGGGGAGCGGGGGAGCGGGGCCGGGTTCCGGAACCCAGAGCCTCGGCCGGGGACCTGGTCCACAGAGGGTGCCGCCAGGGCTGCGCCCGGAATCGGGGTGAAGCGACGGGGAGCGTGGCGGGGGGAGCTGGAAGGGGCTGCGGGTCGGGGTGACGTGGCAGGGAGGGAAGCTGCCGGCCCGCGGCTCTGCTGAGGGCTGCCGCTCGCTGCCTGCAGTGCGGTGCGTTCACGACGTCTCTCTTCAACCCTCCTTCTAGAAGGGACCAGCCCGCTCCCTCAGAGTCCGCCTGGCCTGGCCGCCCCGGCTGCCTTCCCCGGGGATGGCGGGAGGGCATGGCTGGCGCCCACTCCAGCCCCAGGGACACTGTCCGTTCCTGAGAAGCCCAGCCTGACACTTCCTGTCACTCAGCTGTCTGTCACCTGTCGTCACCTCCGGGTCAGAGGTGATTCTCATCATTTCAGAAACGCTAGACTCTTCTCCCCCGGCTGCTGCCTCGGAAGGCCATTAGCGCCCACAGGGTAAACCTATCACCTGTTCTCATTAGTTATTAGAACCCGGGTTTCCTTCCCTCTCTGCGTGGGGGGGAGCAGGGTGCTGGGTGGGGCCGCGAGGGGCCGGAGTTTCTCTCTGCCCACCCGCCCACCCACCCACGGTGCCGGGTGTCCTGCGCCCCCTGAGCAGCGGCTGGGCTGGGAGCGGTTTCCGCTGTCTCCGCCGCCCGGTCTCTGCCCGCGGTGGCCTTTGGCTCATTCTCAGGACGTGTCACTCTCTGTCCTTGTTCCCCGCTGACCTCGCGTGTTCTCCTGCCCCTGGGCTGCGGGAGAAGTGTCGCAATGTCCAGGAGACGGTGGCCGCAGCCCACTGAAGCTCCCCAAACTCCCACTGTCGCTGGGCGGACTGTCTGCTCCTCACACCGCCGGTCGACACCGGCGCCGCCGGCGGAGGCGACAATGACGGAGGGGCCCCGACCCAGGGACCGCGCCCCTGTGGGGAGGGGAGACTGGGACGCGGGTGCGCACGGGAGAACGCGCGTGAGGCCAGGGTTCTGGCGCCTCGAGCTAGGGAGCCGCCAGAGCCTCGGGGGAACCTGGGACAGACCCCCACCCCCGGGGCCGCCGCCAGTGCAAGGTGGGGGGGGCATGGGCCTGGCCCTGCGGACGCGCCGGTGTGGGGCCCTGGGCTCAGATGGTGAGGCTGGCTCTGCTGTCACTGCGCGCCGCCCGGGTGGAGGTGCCGGCCCAGCAGCGGCAGGAGCGAGCACAGCCGAGTCCCGGCTGCTGCGGGCACAGGGGCCCTTCGACCTCCGCCCCCGCCCGCTGCCCCCCGTCCCCGAGATGTGTCCGTGTCGCTACCTGCATTTAGAGGTGTATGTGTGTTTTTCTGTTTTATTTTGTTTCACAAAATGTGAAATGGAGCAGGAGGAGGACACTTGGCCGCAGGCGCTGAGGCGAGAGGGCAGAGCGCCACCTCGTCCCCCGGGGGTGGGGGGGGCCAGGGGCTCACTGGCACCTCAAGTGGTTCCCTGCCCGGGCGGCCAGGGGAGCCCTGCACGCGTTGTTTTCGGGGTTCACAAACACCTGTTAGCGAATTGCAGGTGCGGATGCTGGGAATCATGGGGTTCACCTCTGCCCACCCACGATGCACCGGGGTTGGGTTTTCCCCGACTGCACCGCCCTGGAGAGGCCCGGGAGCCCGGAGCGAGAGGAAAGGCCCAGGACCACGGCAAACAAAGTGGGCGTCACGGGCATGTGGTGACGGGTGTAACCGCTCGAACGTTGCCGCGGTGGTGTCTCTGAGATAGGATGGTGGGTGAGAGGGGCAGGGTGAGGTGAGGGCAGGGTGAGGTCCCCAGGCAGAGCAGGCGGGGAGCTGGGCGAGTGAACCAGAGCCCCGAGGATGAGGGGCGTGGGCCCCTGGGGCCACGTGCCTGGCTGAGCCTGCTGGGGGGTCGGCCCGGCCCTGGTCCGGTGTGCGGGGTGCCGGGGCCTCTGGTTCGGACGAGCGTGAACCTGGGGCTGGACCAGCCCAGCTGTGGCCTCCACACTCGCCCAGCCTCCCCGTCCCTGTGAAATTCAAGGGGTGGGAAATGCTGGCAGTGCCTTTAACTTAGGGCGACACCGAAGAAGGGGTTCGCGCACGGACCTGTCCAGAACGTTCCCCCGACCCCCCTGGGGAAGAGACAATGGGTACAGCCGTTCCCCAGCACAGCCTCGGGGCCCCCCGTTCACACCTGTTTCAAGGCTCTGGCAACCGCTTCGGGGAGCAGAGCCCGCTGGCCCCAAGTCCAGCCATCGCGACCACGCCGCAGAGCTCTTTGAGGTTCCCGTGCTGCGCCCCCAACTCCGACCCTGGAGTCAGAAACAGTTTCGCTGCCGTGAGCGGCGAAACCCCGTGTAATTGTCCAATTAACTGACTACAGCCCCACGTGCGTGCCCTGGAGTCCTCCTTCCCGCTGGGAACGCGCCCCGAGCCCCTTGATCGGCCCACGCATCTCGGCAGCGGGCAGGCGGGAAGCCGGCAGCCCGGGGCTGAAAGGCACCTGCCCGCCCCCACACCCCCACACCTGTGGGCCTGGCCCTGCGGCCGGTCAGCCTCCCCGGGCGTTTCTGAGAGCCTTTTGTTGGAACGGGGGTGGGGCCACCGGCCTGGCCCGTTCCAGGCGGGAAAGATCGAGTGTAGATTTCATATCTGCGTTTTAAGTGCTGGTAAAAAGTTGCATTAAGTTATCAAATGCACCATGCTCATACCTCCTTCGCCAGGTGGCCCTGAGGCTTGGGGGTCACTCTGCCTCCCAAAGAAAAGAAACAGTGATGGTGCGGGCGCTTGGGGCGAAGGGGGGCGATCCAGTTACTCTTAAACGGACCTCATCCAGACGGGGCTCGCGGAGCAGCTTTCTGGGCTTGGCACCCGGCTGCCGGCCCAGGCGTCGGTGCGCAGTGATGGGGCTTGAAACCTCCGGCTGAAGGTGCTCCTGCCAGACAGGCGGGTCCAAACTCAAACAGCGAGTGTGAGCACAGGATGGTGATCACACTCGGTCCGAGAAATGTGTTCAACGTCTCTTTACTTGTTTTTAGAGAGAGGGGGAGGGAGGGAGAAAGAGAGGCAGGGAGACACACGATCAGCTGCCGCTCCTGTGCACCCCGGATGGGGACCTGGCCCGCACCCCAGGCCTGCGCCCCCACTGGGAATCCAGCCCGGGACCTCTCGGTGTGCAGGAAGACACCCCACCCACGGGGCCCCGCCAGCTGGGACCTGGGTGTTTTGGCCCCGTGGACTGACCTCTCCCCTGGGGCCTGTGTGTTCTCCTGTGCGCTGGGAGCGAAGGAGCAAGTCCTCCTCCTGGGGCCTGGGAGCCTCACTCCGAATGGCCTGGAGGAGGCCCGGGGAGGCCTCCCGGGGGGCGCCCTGCGCACATCTGTGAAAGCCCTGCCCTGGCTCCCGCAGCCCCGGGCAAGCGGCGCCCAGCGTCCTGGCTGCAGGAAGACGAGCCCTCTTCGGGGTGTTTGTTGCACGGGCACCAAAGTGAACTTCCCCTGCTGTCTCCCCGGGGGTCTCTGTCCTGTGGCCAAACCAGGGTGGGGCAGGCAGCAGGGATTCGGGGGCTCCGTGTCCCTGCCCCCTTTCGGGCCCCCTTTCTCCAAAGTCGGGGCTCCCCGTCACTTTCCTCCTCACACGCTCCACTGTGGTGGCCGGGTCGCCTGCCGCTGACCCCAGCCGCGCCCGAGTTCCGGGGGCAGCACAGCACAGCACAGCACAGAGGGTGGTCTCTTGCTCAGGCTGCGGTCCGGCTTCGTCAGAAGACAGGAGTCTGGGCTCCGTGCTGCTGCTGCCCTCACGCACCTCTGCTGCCCTCTGTGTCCCCAGAGTCTGTCCTTGTCCCTTGTGTCGTCCTCACACGGCAACGGACAGAGAGGGAGTGGAGCGTCACACGGGTCTGGAAGGGGGGACCTGCAGGCGGCCGATGTCACTCCTGCCCTCGGTCCACGGGCCGCGGCACCTCGGGGACTGAGAGCGTGCCCCTCCCGCGGGCGCGGCCCCGGGTGGACGCTCGGGCCGCCTCTGCCCTCCTCGGGGTGCTTTTGGGACCAGGGTCTGAGCTCATCGAGTGGGAGCGGTAGTAGGTCGACCCTGGGTTGACCCTTCCCGTGGGACTCCCCGCGGGAATCTCAGAAGCAGGCAGGCTGATGGCTGTCGCTGTGGTCCTCATCAGCCTCCAGGTTCCCGTTTCCGTGCCGACCCCAGGGCTAGAGAAAGGGCTGGGACCGAGGTCCAAGCTCTGTTTCTGACCTTAATGCTCCAGGGTGGGGGGCGCCCCCCAGGAGCCCTCCATCGGCTCTGGGGCCTGACCCGCGCCAGCCTCGCTGACTCACCCCTCTCGCCCGTGGGCCTCCCCGGGCCCTCACCAACCCTCTCCACGCACTGGGCAAACACAAAAGGAAAAACACACTTTTCTGGGAAAGAACGTTAAACATGTAGCAACACCTTTGAGTATTCGAGAATAAAAGGGTGCAGTCTCTTATCTGCGTATGAACAGGGGGGGGCACTTTATTTTTTTTTAAAGGGGGGAGGCGAAGACAATAGAACTGAATTCCATTCTCTTCCCAGAAGCAGGGTTGTGAAACCGGCCTGTGGTGACGAGGGGACTTCAGCGCGGCTGATGCACCGCGTCCTGTGTGCCGAGTGACTCAGGCGGCGTCAGCCCGGGCGGGAAACGGGGACATCCGAGTGGCAGGCGGGGAGGTGGGGGCGGGGTGGCCTTAGAAAAGGAAGAGGGGGGAATTTCAGACCGTTCAACCTCTTCTGAATGTTAGTAACTTTTTAACCCTTATTTGAACAGAAGAGCGAGAAGAGGGGGGAGGGAGGAAAGGAGGGAGGGAGGGAGGGAAGGGGAAGAGGCTCCCTTTCTCTCCAGTCCCAGCAGGGGCGTCTCTGGGCCACCGGGCAGCTGCGTGCAGGCGCTTGTGCCCGCGCTGACTGTCTCACACGCCAGCGATGCTCAGTGCTCGGGGCTGGGGGGGCAGACGGGGCAGATGGGGCAGATGGGGTTGGTGGGGCCGGCACTCACCCCTGGCACTGGTGACGGGTCTGGGTGAGTTCGGGTCTTCGAGATGTGCCAGCCCCCTGACCCGAGTTGTGCGGTGGCTGGCGGGACACGCCGGGCCCGCAATGTCACTTCACCCCCACAGTGGAGCTCGGGGACACCAGCTGTGGGAGGTGGGAGTCACGGGGCCGCAGGGGAATCCCTGTCTGAGCCCTGGTCTCCGCCCCTGCTCCCGCCAGCCACCTGCTCCGAGGGCAGGTCCTGCATCCTTGCGGCGTTCCGCCCTCCTCGGTCCCTGCGGCTCAGCCCACTGACCTGCCCAAGGGGGCTCAGCGCAGCCTCCCTCTGGGACTCTGCACCTAGTTCACGCCACCCCCGATGTTTCGTGTGCGCAGCGGGGTCAGGCAGGCGTGAGAGGCCCCGCCCCTGCTCATGGGCTGTGGGGCCAGTCTGTGGCTCTGACCAGACCTGCAGGGGAAGGGCAGAGTTCGCCTGGTGTTCTCCGTACGTCCCAGCTTCGTTTGTCACCAAGCCTCCTGTCCCCCTGCATGACACCTGTCTTCTCATGGAGCCCTTGGGGACACACCCGTGGCTCTTCGACAGTCAGTCACTTACATCCTGGCCAGGCTCCGGGTTCTCTATACAGATAGATGGGTTTCCCTGTGACTGTGAGGGGGCCAACGACCCCAGACCAGCTTCCCGTGTCTTTCTGAGGACAGAGGACAGTTCCTGCCGCTCTCCGGGGGTCGTTTCCTGAGAAGCCCTCAGCACCTTTAAACACAAGAACCCTGGACGTCGGCATTCAGACTGCTCCGAGGTTTTCCCAGCCCACATACTCTGGACTAGCCCTTTGAGGAGCGTTCCAGCCATGGAAGCTTCTGCCAACACGTAGTGGGGGGATCAGCCGGGAGAGAGGGGGTCTCAGAGGTAAATGTCAGCCGTATCCAGGCCCTGAGCTGTGGAGCTGGGGACGGGCCTGTGCCTCCCTGTGTCCCCCCCAGAGTGTTACACAGGTCACCAGCGCATCTCCAGGCCACCCTGGCCCACATTCGAGGGCAGGTCTCTGAAGCGAGCGCCCCTCGGATTCTCCCGGGGCAGCCAATACCTGCCCACGCACACAGCGCGTGTGAGAACTCGGGCCAAGAGGGCGAAGAAGCAGAGCCCTTTCACTCACCCAACCTGAGGGGACCTTTGGCCTTGCAGAGCACCACTGACAAAGCGTTGCACTTGCAGTCAGTCTTTAAGAAGGGTCTCCTTGGAGCTGGCCCAGAGACCCCAGCGCCGGGAACCCAAGGACTGGCGTCTGAGTGTGTGCCCCCCCGCCCAGCGGCACCTTGGGAAGAGCGCATGTGCGCGTGGGGAGGCCGGACAGTGTTAGCCAGGGAGCGGTCAGCTGCCGGCGGCCCCTTGTTCAAGGTCGAGCTGGGCGGCCGGCGTTACCTTCACCCGGGGAGATGCCCAATCCGGAGGTTGTCTACCTTCTCGGCTCCTGGCGGGGCAGTTTCCGGTGAGCCCCTCCCCCCCCCGCCTCCCCCCGCTCAGCGCACAGCCTCTCCTGCTGTCGCCAGAGCGCTCCGTCTGTTACGATCGGTGCACCCGTCCTGACTCATCATCACCATCGCCACCCGGAGTCCACGGCTGACGGGGGGCCCACTCTCAGCGCTGCGTGTCCTGCGGGCTCGGACAAACGGGTAATGGCTGTGCCCACCACCGCAGTGTCCCACCGAGCACCTCCTCTGCTCGCCCCCCGCCCCACACTACCCCCGAGCCAGACCCCGGAGGCCACTGCCCTTTCCACGTCCCCACGGCTGTGACTTTTCCGGAAGGTCCTACGGCCGGAATCACATCGCGGGCAGCCTCGCCTCGCCCCCCCTGGCGCCTTCCACTTAGTGGCGGGCTCGGAAGGTTCCTTTGCGTCTTCTGTGACTTCGGGGCCCCCTTCCCCCCCGTCCCCATCCTGCTGGGTGAGCTGCATTGGGCGGACACGGCGTGGGGTTTTGAGGAAAGGCCTGGACGGAGCCGAGAACGAGTTTTACTGCCGGAAAGTCGGCCTCGTGTGGGGACCCACGTCTGAGACGGGGCGCCCCCCGCCCCCTCAGAGTGCAAAAAGGGGGAGCCCCATCTCAGGCCGCTGCATGCTCGCCTTGAGCTTCTGCCTCCAGACTGTCTCTGTCAGAATACGACTGCGGTGGGGCGGCGGGGCGGCGGGGCGGCGGGGCGGCGGGGCCACCCGCCTGGAGCAATGGCCCCGTGGAGGCCAAGCCCTGCCCCCGGGGGACAGACGGCGTGCAGACAGGGGGAAGGACGGTGGCGGCCCCCCTCGGCGGAGGTTCCTTCTCGCCGTGACCCGTCTGTGGCTCCACCATCCGCGGCCTCGTCCCTGAGCCCGTCTGGCTGGAGTGCAGGGCCGCACCCCAGACGGGACGCCGACGTCACACTCCCGGGGTGGTTCCCCGTTCGGTCTGCGAGCCCCCCAGTGCGTGCTGCGGGGGTGGGCGACGGGCTCGCTTCGGCTGCGAGTTCGAAGAGGTTCGAGGCGGTGGGGGGAGCACCAGCCCCGGGTTCTGGCCTGGGGGCAGCCTCACGGGAACCCCGTCGTGCTCCTGGTGTGGGGGGGACGCGGTCCTGGGGTCCCACAGAGGAGGCCCCCAGAGGTTTCCCAGGTCACAGCTCTATCAGGACCCACCTGTGTCCCCTGCGGGACAGCACTGACCGCCCGCCCGGGGCCACCAGGGGTCTCTGCCTGGCCCCTCCTGGAGCCTGGCAGGGGACGCAGAGTGGGGACGCGGCCTCTCTGAGCAGGACCCCGACTCACGTGCCTGCTGCCTGGCGCCACTGGGGGGACGTCGCTTCCCCGTGTGGGCCTGACACGGGGTGGGCGGCTGGTTCCCTGGCCGTCTGATGACAGCCCTCCCGCGTGGGGCCGGCAAGCGCACCCCGCTGCACCTTCGGGGTGCTCTGGGCCGCCCGTGGGACGACCCCACACCAGACAGGCTTGGGACCTCTGACCCCGACCTCCAGGGGGGCTAGGGGGTGGCTGGTCTGGGCGCGGGTGCCGGGAATAGCGGTCCTGAGAAGGCCTGAGACCCGGCCGGAGCCACTCGCGCGAGGCCGTCTGCGTGGGAAATGGGCAGTTCCGAGGCTGTGGCCACAGCTCCCCCGCCCCCTCGGGCCCAGGGCTGCCAGCCGCCTCCCACGCTCACCTCGGCAGAAAGTCCCTGGCTGCCCTCCAGGTCGCCGCGCCGCCGACCTCCCGAGGTGTGAGGCGGAGGGAAGGAATCCACGTTCCGGCCGGACCTTCCTCCTTCCTTTCTGAGAAAGAGCCCAGCAGCACCCCCCCCCCTGCCCTGCCCTGCCCCCTCCCTGCCCCCCGCCCCCCCCCCCCGCCACCTGCCTGGCCCCCACCCATGGAGCAGCAGCAGGGCGGGGCAGGGCGCTGGGCCCGAAGCCTGAAACCAAGGTGTCGGCGGGGCCGTGCGGGCTTGGGCGGCTCCAGGGGACGGTCCCTCCGGGCCTTGTGCCACTCTCGGGGCTGCGCGCCGGCCTGGTGCACCCTGGCTCGCGGCCACATCGCTCGGCCTTCGCATGCCGTCCCTCTGCGTCTCTTCCCTTCTCAGAAGTGCACTGGTCACGTTGTGTTGCAGGCCCGTCCCACCCCGGGGCGGCTGCACTCGGCTCACTGCACCTGCCACGGCCCCATTGCCCAATAAGGGCACGTTCTGAGGGCACTGGTGGTCACTGAGCATTTTGGGGGACACTCTCTGACGCACAGCGGAGCCCCCATATTTCCTGTCCCCTCTGTTCGGAGCAGGCCCTCACTTCGGGCTGGGGGTCCTGCCTGCTCCCTTTCCAGGGCCCAGGCGGGCCCAGGACGGGCCCCTAAGATAAACCAGCCCCCTCTCACTGCGGGGTGGTGGCCCGGCCCAGCCGGTGCACACGAGCACCTGAGTCTCCTGCGGACAGGCAGCCACCTGTTGAAGGGGCACCTGCCCAGAGCTTTCCCTGCTTCCGGACGCCGTGACCCTGGGCCCCCCCGGGCCTGCCAACGGGCCATCGCAGACCAGGGTGTCCCACCCAGACGGGAGCAGTGACGCCAGCCCCCGGAGCCCCGCTCCAGGCCCGGTCTGGTGTCCCGTGTCCTCGGCCGCGTCTTCCCGACCGACCAGCCCCCCCCCGCCCCGGGGGGACCGAGGTCCGCCTGCTCCGAACCAGGGAGGGGGGAGGGAGCAGTGGCCCCCGAGCCCCCGGCCACCCGGCTGACTGTCTTCCAGGCTACCTGACCAAACTGCTGCAGAACCACACGGCCTACGCCTGCGACGGGGGCCGCCTGGACCTGCAGTGCCCGCGGCACTCCACCATCAGCGTGCAGTCGGCGTTCTACGGGCACGACGACCGCGCGTGCAGCCCCCAGCAGCCCGCCGCCCGGGGGGAGGGCCCCTCGGCCTGCGTGGCCCCCACCACCCTGCAGGTACTGCACTCGCCGGCATCTGAGGGCGACAGGACGGGGTCTCCCTCTCTCTCTCTGCGTCTCCCTCTGTGGATGCGCCTGTGGTGGTGATGCCGTTCCCACACAGCCGCCCCGACCCGGAGCGCCCCAGTCCGTCCGCACAGACCCCCGGCGGTGCGGGTGAGCCCTCGGCAGGGTTCCTGCCGGAATGTCCGAGGAGGGTTCCCGGTCCCTGGAGAGCGCCCTTAACACACTCGCGCTGCGATCATGTCCCCGGCCCGGGCAGGCTCCTCCCGCAGGACAGTCAAGGACAGTCACTCTGGGCCTCGGCCTCCGGGCCCACGCGCCCCGCAGCACCCCGGGAACAGGGGAGTCTGTGTGCTCCAGGGGCCAGCAGGGGCCACCAGGGGACAGCAGTGGCCTCTGTGAGGCGCTCAGGGAAGGGAGATGCTGTGAGCGTCTCTTGTTTTTTGTGGTTGCAGATAGTCGTGTCGTTCTCGTTCGGAGCAGGGACTTGGGGCAGCCCCTGCGGGTCCACCCTTCCCTGGACAGTACCGGGAACTTGGGGGCGGTGGGTGGGCCGGGCTGAGCCGTCCTTTTCTCGGCTGGCGTTAGGGAAAGATGTGGTGCAGGAAGAGGTCCAAACTAAAACTGCAGAGATGGCTTTAGAATTCTCATGGCTTTCAACCCTCCGGGTGAGGCCTGCTCCGCGGGCCCCTGCGTGCGTGTGGCTCGTCGGCCGTGGCATGGAATGGCGCAGCCTGGGGGTGCCCACGCCTCCAGAGTTCCGCGGGCAGCCGCTGTGGTCAGGGTGGTAGAGCAGCGGGAGATCAGGTATTGGTTTGCTGCCATCGGTGATAGGAGACGGGGCCAAGACGCCCTCTCCGGCAGGACCAAGGAGGAGCGAGTGGCGGTGGCTGTCCTCCGCTAGCTCTGCCCAAGGCCCGGGGGGAGGGGCGCACACACCACGGCACCGTGAGGGCGTTCCAGTTCCTCCCTTTGTCCACTGCTCCGTTCTGAGCACCATTCCGCGGTGTCGGTGCAGCCATGCGATGGCCACAGACACCCACTGAGCCGCCAAAACGAGGCGTTTGCGGGAGTCCCCTGGACGTGGTTTCCACGTCGCTCCGCAGGGGAGCAGCCCCTCCCCTGCGTGCCCCACCTGCCCCAGCCCACCCTCTCGGCTCGCCCCTTCCCTGCCCCGCAGCCCTGCCCCGCAGCCCTGCCACCCTGGCTGTCTGCAGCCCCCCCGCCCCCCGCCCTGTGGGTGCATACAAGGGACCGTGGCCCAAGCCAACAGGGCAGGGAGCGAGCCTGGTTCGTCGAAGGAGGGACCCTGGCTCCCTGAGCCCCAAGGCGCGCCCCGCCCCACCCCCAGCCCGAGGGCGGCATGGACGCTCTGAAGCGGGCCAGGCGAGCGTGTGCGCACACACTTCTGGTGTCGTTAGGGGTGCATCTGCTGGACACACTCCCCACGCCCTGCCCCTCGTCCAGAGACCCTCGGCTTCTCACCCCCAACTGCACGTGGGAGCCGGGGGGCACGCTGCTCCCGCAGAGGGAGGCGGGCTAACACAGTGAGAGCCCGGGCCAGCGTCCACACCCAAGCCCCTGAGCTGACCCAGCGGGGACCGGGTGCCCACGGGAAGTCGCTCTGCCTCTGCCAGCTGGGACTCGGCTGCAAGAGGGCCCTGCCTTCGGCCCTGCGCTGGGCGAGGAGCGGTTTCCCAGGGGCCCTGGGCCACGGTGATGGGCACTGCCGTCTGTGGGCCCTCGGGGACGCGCGGGCGTTCTGCCTGGTTCCAGACACACCTGGGGCCACCTCCTGCACGGAGCTGCCATGAGGACGCGGTGCTCGTGAACCTGTGGCCCACGCAGCCCGACAGCGATAGGTGGGCTCTCGGGGACTGACCTGGGTGCCCTTTGGTCATGGGCGGGGCCTGGGGCCAGGAAGGGGGAGACTGGCAGTGAGGGGCTAGGCATTGCGGGGCCTGGCGCAGGGTCCACCGAGCGGGCCCTCACGGGAGTGAGCTGCCTGGAGAAACCAGGAGAGAGAGCTGGAGGAAGGGGCTCAGCCACAGGCTCAGCCGAGCACCCGAGTCCCCCAGGCTCCGGGCCCTCGAGGCTGGCGGGGCGGGGGTGGGGGGGATCCGCATCCTTAGCTGTTGGCCCAGGTTTGGGTTTGTGTCTCAGGCTCCCACGGGGTCGAGCTCTCTGTCCTTGTCTCTAAGGATGAGGAGCTGTGAGTGGGGCTCCTGGCCCCTCAGGGCTCTCAGAAGGGACCCCTCCCGGAGGGGACCGCCCAGTCCCTTCAGGGCACGCTCCGGTCTCACTCGCGTCTCCCAGAGCCTCCCAAGTTCGGCGTGTTGGCTGGAACCGCGAGCCGCGGCCCCCGGGATGCGACAGTCTGGCGTGGCACGCGGCCCGGGGTGGGGGTGGGGGGGGGGGGGGGGGGTCCCGCGGCCACCGGTGCGCCTCACCAGCCTGTCCCTTCTCTGCCCCCCTTCCAGAAGGTGCTGGACGAGTGCCAGAACCAGCGGGCCTGTCACCTCCTGGTCAATAGCCGAGTTTTTGGACCTGACCTTTGTCCAGGAAGCAGTAAATACCTCCTGGTCTCCTTTAAATGCCAACCTAGTAAGTAGCCGCCGAGGGGACGGTGTGTCTGGGATGCGGGCCGCGCTGTGGTGCACACCCCGGGGGGAACTCTCTGCCGGTCAGGTCGGCGTGGGTCCCACTCTGAAACACTTGTGCACAGGAAGGCGGGCCCCACCCTTGCCGGCCGCTCGGTTTGCGTGGATTGGTGTGTGTGTGAGTGGGTGTGTGTTTACACACACACAGGCATCCATGTGCATTCATGTGTGCAGGTGTCTGAACTGCACACACCCTCCTTCCGTGTGTCAAACTCAGCCCTCCTGAGGCGGACGGTCCTCGGGGCAGGATTTGGGGCCAGTGCCCTCGTGAGGAAACCTCGCCGTGGAGCAAGCCCAGGGACCCCACCACCGCCCGCGCTTGGGTCCCAGACTCGGGGGGCTGGCGCTCCCCCCCCCCCACACACACACACGCAGCAGGGCTGCTGACACGGGTCGGTCCCTATGGGGAGGTGTGGCTGCAGACCTTCTCTGATTCCTGCACTTTTCCCCACTGCCTGTCGCCGTTTCTGACGCAAGTGGGTTTTCGGGGCAGCTCCTCCAGCTGCTTGTCAGCGAGCAGGCCCCTCCCCCGGGGGAGGGGCGGCCCAGGAGAGGCCCCAGGGAGCAGCAGCTGGGGAGGTGACGGCTCTACCCAGAACGAGAGCGGTGATCGCCGGCCGGCCCTGCACGGCCACCCACGCACGGTCCTCTCGCTTTCTGCCTTTTGTTCTCTGCTGGTTTCCGCCCCCGGAGCCCAGCGTCTCCCGGGACACAGCGGCCGCGGGCGCGGGGGAGGCGCTGGGCAGCGGAAGTGCGACACCGTCCCCGGCTCTGCAGTGCGCGTCTGCAGAGACGGCCCGGCCTCCCCTGGGCCAGTGTCCGGGCTCCTGCCCGACCCTCTCCCTGCGGGGCTGGGACACCTCAGGGGGGTCCCCAGGCTCCCGTGGCTCAGTCTCCATAGCGTGCGTTCACACACACACTCATGCGTTTGCACACTCGGTGCACACAGGTAGACACTCGCACCCATGCCTCCCATTGTGAGCACACACGCTCACACACACACACACACACATGCTTTCACGTACACAGGGCCGCAAACACCCCCCAGCAGCCTCACCCTCCCAGGGGGTCCCATCCGCTCTGCACCCCCTGAGGAGACACAGGAAAACCCCTTCCAGCCTTCCCTGTTCTCCAACACCTTCCTCCGCTGCTGAGTCTCAAAACCAGCCATGCCCCGGCCACGCCCTTGACCACGTGGCCTCGGCCAGGATGACGCTGCGCTGCGGGTAGATTCCCCTTCTCTTGCTCTCCCTCTCTCCTTCCCTGGTTCTAAAGGGTCCCACTGGAAGCCGCCCCCGCTCCCCCTGTTAGGAGCTGGAGGACCTGGGGGTGGGAGTCTGACCATCAGCGGTGACACTGTCTCGCAGGTTCTGTATGCGGGGACCTTTTCTTGATCAGCGGTGGCAGGCCCCCGCCTCTAGAGGCGAAAAGGCCCCTGTGAGACGGGCAGAGAGCGGGGCCAGTAAGTGCTGGGGGCCAGGGCCCGGCTGCCGTGGTGTGCGGTCCGAGCTGCCTGCTGGTGTCGGTCTGCAGGCCCTCGCTGAGCACCTGCCGTGTGCGGGGGCGGGGGGCTGGCCCGGGTGGACTTGAGGAGGGCCCCGGACTCGCAGAGGCTCCCTCGGCGGTTGTGAATGAGGCCCGCGATAACGAATTTCCCCCCACGGCAGGTCCTGCATGCTGCTGTGCGTCATTGCAGGAGGGGTCACGACCCTGCCCTCTGATTGGTGGAATCAGGGTGGGGGGGATTGGTCGCTGTTGTCCTCTAAGCAGAGTCGTGGCTCCGCCTCCTGCAGGCCCCAGTTGCTCTCCCGTCTAAACCCACGTGGCCCACGTCTGGAAGGCTGCCCGCCCCCTTTCTAACCAGGGGCCACTGAGCGCTCGAACCCGGCTCTGAAACAAGTTCCGGTTCCCTAAGAAAAGCATCAGGTCTTTCGGGGACCGATCGTTTCAGACCCCAGAAACGTCACTCTCCGGCGACAGTGAATTGCACATTCCCAAGGAACCAAGTCACTCCACGGAACACACGACAGCAACCCTCAGCCCGTAACGTGACACTTGCAGCCCCTCGGTTCCAGGAGAGGCCTGGCCCGTAATCTGGGGGCCAATCGCGGGAGGCTCCGCGTGTGGGCGTGGCTGGCGTCCGGCCACCTTTACTGAACCGGCTTTTTAACGCAGCACCGAGATGGGGGCTGATCGGTGCCTTTCACGACAGGCCTTGGAAAAAGGAAACTCTTGTAATTTAGAAACTTCTGAAAGAGGACGGAGGAAGAAAGGAAGAAAAAGCAAGCAAGCAGCCCTGTGAAAAAGTTTCCAGCGTGCTGAGATAAGAGTCGGTTCCCTGCCGCCTTCTCCCGCCCTCGTCCTTGGCGGCTCTGCCCCGGGGCATTCTTAACATTTTTGGGTGCTCTCCTAGCGGGGCGGGCGGGCGCGCGTGCTCTGTCGCCTGTCCACCTCGTTCCGCCCCGGCCTCTGAGGTCAGGCCTCCTGTCGGAGTGGCTGGGATGGCCCGGGTCTCACGGAGAGCTCTGCGGAGCTCCTGCCGCGGCGGACGTGACTCACCCAGCTCAGCCCTCCCAGGCAGGGTCAGGCGCAGCGTTCTTCTTATTTAGAAAAAGAAAACAAAGCTTTTCTTGGCTCTGAGTTTAACCTGTTCCGGGACGATCCCAGTCCCGGGTGGGGGGGCCTTCTCCGCGTTTGCTCAGTCACCTCCGCTGGCTCCTGGGGCCCCGGCAAAGGCCAGCGAGGAGGGGCCCTGAGCACCGGCGGCCTGCTCTCTGCCCCGCACCCCCATGGGTCTGAGGTTGTTACCGGCGTCCCCGTTATGTCTGAGGTTCCCGGCGTCCCCGTTAGAGAGCAAGGCCCAGGCCCCAGGGCCGACGGTAACCCCAGGCCCACAGTTACCCAGAAGTTCGGCCTCACTGCTCCCTCTCTGTTTTGGGGAGAAAGGCCAGGAAATTCACACGTTGTAGAGAGGTGGAGCTGGTGTGTGGAGACTATTTTCCTTCATGTTTTCAGTTGGGGGCTTAAGCTTCATCAGTTCCCGGACACAAAGGTCCCACCTGCCACTGTTGGCCGCTCGTGCTTTGGGGTGTGGGGGGGGCGGCGGCTTTCAAATCGGTTTGCTTGCAACCCAGAGTCAAGAAAACATTCTACACTTCGGCCCAATAAAATATTCACACAACTGGGAAAAAACGGTGAGATTATTAAAGCTGTGCTCATCCTTACCTTGTGTGATGCCCGCCCATGTTCTCCGAGCTCTCCTTTACGGTTTAAAAGGGCTGGTCCCGGCACACCGGACTGCTTGCACGGCCCGTCCACGGGCCTCAGGTGCGACTCGTGCCGCTTTGCCCTGCAGTGCGCCGGGGCCAAGGGAGCGCCCCCAGTGGCCCGTGCGGCGCGCGCCCGTCCGTCCGAGGAAAGCTGATGGTGCCCCCGATTTTGTCTCCACTCCAGATGAGCTGAAAAACAAAACCGTGTGTGAGGACCAGGAGCTGAAGCTGCACTGCCACGAGTCCAAGTTCCTCAACATCTACGCCGCCACCTACGGCCGCAGGGCCCGGGACTGGGACGTGTGTGCCTCGGGCGCTCCGCGGCTGCCCCCCTTCGGTAGGTGTCTTCTCGTGGCTGGCTGTCTGTCTGCGGGGGCTGGCTCCCCGGAGGGGACCCTTGCCGGGGCCTGTGCCGGGTTAGGGGGAAGTCACGGGGAAGGAGGACCTGCCTCCCCGGAGGGCCGCCTGCCACCCCGCACGCCTGCATCCGTCCCTCGCCCAGTCATTCCACACCGAGCAGCTGTCCAACGCCCACTGAACGCAAGGCCCCGTTCTGGGCGCGGGGTGGACGTGGTGACCGCAGAGTCCACGGGGAGCTGACCTCCCAGCAGCGGACGAGGAGGCAGTGAGAGAAGAGATATTGCACGGCTGATCTGTCGTGTTTCAGGGGCACATAGGCGCTCAGGGGGACAGCGCACGGGGAAGGGAGTCGGGGGACGGCTGCGGAGAGGCGCAGGTTCTCGGAGTGGTGGTGGGCCACTGAGGAGAACCTGCAGATGGACACCTGGGGCAGGTGTGCAGGTGGAGCGCAGTGTCCGGGAGGGCCCCGAGGCTGGGTTCGGGGTGAGGGAGAAGTCCGAGGGTCCTCCTCCTTAGCCGTCTGCGGCTTAGAGCCAGGAGGCGAAAGCTCCACCCACCACAGACGCCCTACGTGTTGTTATTAATTAGGGTCTCCGGGGAGACCACCAGCAGGAGACGTGGACGGAGAGACTGGCCTCACGGAACTGGCTCGGGGGATAGTGGGGCTGCCGGTCTGAGGGCTGCGGGGTGGGCTGGCGGGCTGGGGACCCAGGTAAGAGCTGGTGTTCAGTCTGAGTCCGAACTCGGCAGCGCAGCAGGCTGGAAGCCCCAGGCAGAATTTCCGTGTGCAGCCTCGAGAAAACCCCTTTCTCGGAAAACCTCAGTCTTTGCGATGAAGGCCTTCAACTGATTGGTCGAGGCCCACCCATGCGGCGGAGGGAAATCTGCTCCACTCGCAGTCTACTGTTTAAATGTTATGGTGTCTGAAAAATACCCTCTCGGCCACATCGGGGCTGGTGTTTGAGCAGTCGACTGGGCGCGACAGCCCCAGTGAATCGGCACATGCAGTGAACCGTCGCCCGCACGCCCCCTGGCGCCGAAACAGCTGATCGCCCCCTGCCTCTCACCGGGGAGGAGAGGCCCTCTGGGGGAGCAGCCCAAGGCCGGCACTTCGTCCCCCAAAGTCTCAAATGAGCCTCCTCAGTAGTAAATCGCTACAGTTTACTCGTGGACCACAAGTGACGTGAAACAATTTGAAAAAGAAATTCCCAGTGGGGTACTGCCTTGGGTCTGGAAAAAGGACACAAAGTGACCTCCCCAGTCAGGCAGACGCCCGCCCGCGAGGGAGACCCAGGAGGGAGCAGGAAAGCAGGTCAGAAGGCGTGTGTGTGTGTGTGTGAGACCCTCAGCCCGTGTTCGGAGAGGCAAGGCCTTCTGTCCGGTCACGGAGGGTCTTCTGGGGGCAGACCGCACACAGAGGCAGGCCCCAGTGGGCACGCAGCCGCTCTGCTTTGACCGGGGACAGGGCTCCGTCTCAGCAGGCGCGGCGGCCAGGCGGGGACCAGAGGCTCCTGTCGGTCTGCGGTGCCACCCAGGCCCCGGCGAGTGGCGTGCGCGTCGCGAAGTCCCTTCTCCCTGTGACCCGTGTGCTCAGAGCGTCTGCAGCCCCTCCCTTGTTCCCGCTGCCTCGTTAGGCTGGGGGACGACGGGAGTCTGCCCGCACCCAGGTGTGCCAGAGGCGCATCTGCTCACGGACCTCCTGAACACCCTGCAGGGACGCCCCCAGCATCTGGTCTCCCCGGCTGGGTTGAGCGCCCTTGGTGCTCTCCCCTCTCCCTGCAAAAAGGAGCTCTGTCCCCTAACATCGGAGCGAGGCACGCGGTTTCTCGGGCCCGCTGACTCCGACGTGGGCGGGTGCCCACCGGGAACGTGTGCTTCGGCTCTTCCTCCGAGCGGCGGGATTCGGTCACCTGCGGAGGGATTCGGTCACCTGCGGGGCCCGGCGGGGTTCGGTTCAGAAGGACGAGCAGTCAGCCAGAGACTGCGCCAGCAGACACCGCGGCTGACGACTCAGCGGCTGGGTTGGTGCCGCCCGAGCCCTGGCAGAGCCTCAGGAAAAACACCTGCTCCTGCTTCTTCCCTCCCGGCCCCGCCCCCGCCCCCGCCCTTCACGGTCAAGTGCTCCGGACCCCTCACGCTGGAGTACGGGGAGGTCTGGGATGAGCATTTCACCGCAGTCGTGAGCCGGTGTCCCAGGCCAGGCCAGGCCCGGGCTGCAGGGCAGGCGGAGAGGCTCAGAGGGAGCGTGGCAGGGCCTTGAGGGTGCCATCACCTCACCCCGTTTACTCGACCTGGAAGCACCCCCTGGTCTCACCTGCGGGTGAGCTGAAGGGCCAAACAGGGCGCGTGCTCGAAAATGCAAACCATTGGCTGCCTGCGCTGGTACATTAACGGTTCACTCCATGGCCCAGGCAACGGTGCATGAAGATCGGAAGCTGCGGCTGGCCCGTTCGCCCCACGAGGCCACCAGCTGGTTCCTCCCACGTGGACACATGTCAGTGTCTCCCACCTTAGAAAGCACACTCTTTGCTCCACCCCCGTCTCCCGCCGGCTGCCCGTCCTCGCCTGTGCAAGGCCGCTGGGCTCTGCCCCTTTGCTCCCAGCCCGCTCGGGACTCAGGACTCTCTCGCCGGGACCCCCCGGGCCGCCTCCTGGCCTGTCTCAGATCTTCCCTCTCCCGGTTCCCTCCCCTCCCTCGGTGAGGGCTTCGCTTACCAGCCGGGGATTTTATTTAAATTAAATCTGGTCGAGTGAACCCCTGCTGAAGGTCCTCCGCTTTGCCCTCTGGGATGCAAACCAACCACCCCTCCCAGCTGCGGCCTGGCCGCCCCCTCCTTCCTCGCTCCCCCGGAGCGGTCCGCCCTCACGCGCACCCCAGGGCCTCCGCACGAGCTCTCCTTCGGGCCCGGAACGCTCTCTCCACACGGCTGTGCACGGCCGGCGCCACGCCTCCGTCCCCTCGCTTGGGCACCAACCCAGACATGGCCTCAGGGCGGCTTCGGGGTCCCCCCGCCGGCTCGGCACCTGCATCCCCCGGCCCCTCGCGCTGCCCCGCTCGGTCGCCTTCACCACGTGGGCGGTGCCACCTCTGTGCACGTGGCTCAGCTCCCAGGTGACGGCGGGCCCTGCAGCGAGGTGTCCGTCTCTGACCCGCGACCTCCCAGCAGCTCGGGAGAGAGCGTGGGGACGCGTGAGTGGATCAGCCCCTCCCGAGCGGGGCGCCACCCGGGCTCCCGCGGCGGGTGGCTGCTGCCTGGAATGTGGGCCTGGAGCCGTCGTGGCGCCCGGCCCCTCAGGAGGTGCTGGGAACCCGCGTTTGCTGTCTTCCGGTGCGAGATGTTCCCAGCTTCGTAAACACGGGCGAGCCAAACCAAACACGCCCGCAGGCCCCATCCGGGCCCCAGGCTGCCGTCTGCAATCTCTGTGGCTGCTGCAGCTGCTCCCTGGCCTGGAGGAAGGGGACCGGCCATCAGGTCTGGGCCCAGAAGCGTGACCTTGCAGGATGATTGCCCCAGGGCCTCGTGGTCGGGAGTCAACCGGGACTCGCAGAGGTCATGGGTCCTCTCTTCTGCGTGGATGCTGCAGGCTGGTGCGGCCCGTGGGCCTCAGAGCCCCGGTGGCTCCTGGGAGTGTGCGGGGCAGGGGCGGCTGGGCCTCGGGGTGAGGATGCACAGCCAAGCAGCCCCTAAGCCGAGGACAAGCGGTTCCAGTCGTCCGTAAAAGACTGTGATTTCCCTGACTGTTACCATGCTGGCCGGGCCGGGGTCAGCTGAAGGCACGAGGCCCACTGTGTGGTGGGCGGGGCGCTGCGGGCCAGGCCTCGGTTCTCCCCATGGGGGGTCTCCTGAGGGTCCTCCGGGCCTGGCCACTGGCTCCTCCCAAAACAAGCGACGCCCAAGAACAAGTGGAAGCCACAGGCCGTCACCTCCGCCACCCCGTGCGGGTCACCGACCAGCTCTGACTCACCGCGGGGGGAGGCGACCCCATGTGAATTCAGGAGGGGAGACCACTTGTGGCCAACCTGTAGGCTGTCGTGGGCTGGACCGTGTCCCTCTGAAAGTCGCGTGGCCAAGTCCTCGCCCCCAGGCCTCAGAAGGCGACTGCACTGGAAGAGAGTCTTGAGAGAGGAGGCTCAGTGAGACCGACGTCCCGTGGGCACTGCGGACCCCGGGGGGACTGGGTCCTCATCAGACGAGGAGGTGAGCACACAACCACACGCAGACGCAGACTTCGTGAGGGCCCAGGTGGAGCGCGGCCACCGGCAGGCCCGGCTCGGGGCCGAGCTGCGGGCGCCTTCGACCTGCCACCGAACGGAGGGGAGGTGAACACCCACGGTGCCTGTCCCGCAGCCCGGCGGACACGCTCAACGGCGGACCCCACGGCTGTGACAGGAGGACAGGGAAGATGCACGAGACCCGTGGCCCGGCCAGCTGGGCCCCGTCTCCGAAAGGCGCCCTCGCACGGTGTGCAGGCCCAGGCAAAGGGGGGCCTCGTGTCCCACTGTGAGGGCACTGGCCCGGAGACACTTCCCGCAGGGCCAGCAAGTCCGGTCCCTGAGCACGGGGGCCCCGCTGGTGGAGGAGCAACCCAGAGGAAGGCGTGAGAGGGACTGGTCACCGTGCGTCCCCGGCGGAGGCTGGAGGGCAAAGCAGCGTCTGACCCCGGAGGGCGAGAACCTGCCCGCAGACCTGGCGTGACCTCCGGGAGGGAATGCAGGGCTCCGGAAAGGGCCCCCGACCGGGCACCCGCCGGGCCGCGCCCTTTCCCGCCACGTTCGTTTTCTGGCCAGACTCCTGGGTTCTGCCGTTTCCCTGCCCAGAGGATGAGAAAGCTGCCCCTCGGGCCCCCGAGGCAGAGCGGAGGCCGCCCCAAGGCCAAGTGTGGGCAGGCCTGGACTTTCCCGTCCAACCTCCGGGTGCCAGGGCCTCCCGCTGCCAGAGCTGCTGCTGGAGCCCGGCCAGCAGCCTAATTATCTAAATAAACACAGGTTCTGAAGAGCCATCAGCCTCAGTTCCTGTGCTAAACGGTAGCCAAAAAACCAAACATCAAGTGGCTGAACATCTTGTCATCACACGCACGGGGTGGAAGGCGGTTGGCCGGGGAGAGAGGGCGCGAACGGAATCGGGCCGCGGAGGGAGACGGCCGCGAGCGCGCGCGCGTGTGGTCGGCAGGGCCGTCCTACAGGTGTGAGGTTTATAGTTCTAACGCGAACCTGTCCCCTAAAACGCCCTAGGGTGTGCGTGAGTGTGATGTGGTCCTGTTACAGGGTGACCTGCTTATGATTTTGTCGTAAAGGATTTTGTCGTGGGAACAGGGGCGTTGCTTGTGCGCGACCCCGCACGGAAACCCTGCCAGTGGTCAGAGCTCAGCAGCGTCCTCTGGACGGTCGGAGCCCAGTGAGGCCCGGTCCGACCTCGGCGACCTCCGCCTCTTCCTGAAAACGCCCTGTCACCTGGACAACGTCATCCACACCGAAGGTCACCAGGGTGCCCTGTGTGCCCCCGAGGATTGCGCTGGCCACAGTCCCCACCGGGCGGCAGGGCCCCGGATCTGACCCGTTTCCTGTCTCATCCCCCATCCGCCTGGAGGAGCGTGGTCGGGCGCTCGCCCTCGGGACAGACACTGCTTCTGGCGCGTCGATGCGACTCTGGAAGGAAGGAGGGGGGTAGGACATTTCTGGGTGGCAGTTCGGGACTGTGGGTCCAGAACCTCCCTACTGTGTGCCCTTTCACAAAATGATCAACGGCCCGGAATTCTCATGGAAAGCGTCACGCGTGTATGCAAACACTCAGCTCTCAGGGTGTTCTACAGGGAGCTGTGTGTAACAGTGAGCGCACAGAAATCGCTCGGGCATCTACCAGTCGGGTCTTGTACATACAGCTGGTCCCTCCACGGCAGGGAAAACGATGCAGCGCTTTAACGTGAGGCTTCTGTTAACGTGTTCACAAAGGTGTCGGCAAACAGAGAAAAGCAGCGTGTGGAGTCACGCGTGTGGGCCCCACCGAGGGGGGAGGACGCACACGTGACCGGAAGGCTGCTCTTCGACGGTTAACGGTTTCTTCTCCACGGTGGGATTTCCTGGGAGTTTTGTCTTCCTAGTTTTGTCTTATCTGTGCTTTTCAGGTTTTCGACTACAACCATGCACTTATTTTGTAAAACAAAGAACAATCATAGTCATGTTTTAAAATGTCAGGCTTCCACAAATAATTTTATAATTCAGACTGTTCCTTCGTCCCAACGCAGGTAGCGTATACAGAAATCAGACCTCCCGTTGTAAGTTCTCTTGAGACTGAAGGGGTTTTTTCAGCGGATAACTGTGCTCAGCTAAGACCCCAGTCCATACCGAGGTTCCCGAAGGCAGCAAAAATATCACCACCCAAAACGCAGTATGAAAATGAACTGGAGGAGCATTCAAAGAATGTATCTTTATTCCTAGTTAAACCTCCCATGGCTCTTGGGGCAAACTGAGTTATACAAAAGAATAGTCCATTATATCACATTTATAAAATTTTACATTTCCAAAAAAAATTGTCTTGGAGACCCTCATAGTCAAAAACTGTCTTCTCTCCAGACATAGACATGAGTTTTATTTCAGCTTTAAAAAGGTCCATTTTGTGCTCCTTTATGTCAAAGCAACGCAAACTAGCCAAACTGGGAAAGTGTCTTAAAATCGATCCGGGGGGAAAGAAGCCTCTTCCCATCAGCGCGAACAGCCCTTGCGGCCACCTGGGCAATTCTCCCCTCGATCCTCGCCCACCGTGTCCAGGGCCGGGGCGGTAACACTCAGTTCTGCCCGGGGCCAGGTCCAAGGACGGCACTGCGTCTAGGCTGCAAGCTGTCCACTCCCACAGACGCCGGCCGTCTGATGTGGGGGGGCCTAGTGCCCATGAGGGCACACCGGGTGCCGGCGTGGGACACGCTAAACACGGCGCTTTGTGTCATAGTCACACCAGCCCACAGGTCAGCTCCTGGTGGAGAGGACAGGGGCTCTGCAAGAGGGCCCGAGGTCACGCCCTTGGCCACAGGCAGAGGGTCCTCTGGAAGTTCAGCCACAAGACGCCCACTCAGGCTGGGAGCGAACAACAAGAACAGCCAACTTCCGCTGCGCCTGGCGGGAGCCCCCCAGAGGGACAGGGAAGGCAGTCCCCGCAGGACGCAGGAGGGCCAGTCCCGTGAGCTGGAAGGGCGCTGCCCCAGACCCCGCCCCGGCCAACAGCAGGGAAGGGTGCGCGGCCCTTGCCCTCCAGGCGTGCGCGGTCCCGCGGGCGGTGCACGCTGACGCGACGCAGTACACCGTGGGGTCGCAGCACGCTGTAGAGTTGCAGCCCCCACCCCCACCCCCGTGCGCCCCCTCTGGGCTCTGGAGGCCACTGCCCCTGCCCGTTCAGGCCTGGGGTGGGGCACACCCGTCGGCCAGCCCTGGGGTTCTGCTTGTCCTCTGGGGTGTTGCACACACACGCACACCCTCACAAACGGTCTCTCTGGAGCCCTCCTGCCACGCCCACTGTGAGCCCGAGTGGCCCTGACCTGACGGCGCCCACTGCTCTCCGTCCTGCTCTTACTGGTCACAGAGACCGGGCATGGGGTGGGGGGCGGGGGTCAGACCCCACAGCCTCTGGAATGCAGCTCCCTGCGGGGTTCAGGCCGAGGCGCGTGTGCCCTAAAGCCCCGCGGCCGTGTCCTTTCAGACTGCTTGTCCCACTCGGCGGTGCACGTGCTGTCCCAGCGGTGCTACGGCCGGCAGCGGTGCAAGATCCTCGTCAACAACCAGCACTTCGGGAGCCCCTGCCTGCCGGGGGTGCGGCAGCGCCTGGCCGTCACCTACGCCTGCGGTAAGCGCGCGCCCGCGGCCAGCCCGGCGCCTCGACCCCGGCAACCGCCCCGCCCCCCAGCCCAGAGCCCCCTTTCCCGTCCTTCCCGGTGGTTTACGGCCTTCGGTCCGGATGGGTTTCCGAGCCCTGCTAGCGACAGGGGGCGGCAGGCGGGGAGGGTGGGGACGCAGCCCCAGAGGGTCACAGGGTGTCCCTGGGCACGGTGACTCTCGTCTGCGCCCGCGGAGGCTCCGGAATTCACGGGCGCGTCCCGGGAGGTCTCAGGGGCGCGGTCGTCCCTCCAGCCCAGCTCAGGCTCTGGGTGACGAGCTGTCCGCGCGGCCAGCAGCCCCTGCCCCGCGTGGCCGCGGCGCTGGGCCAGCCGGGCCGCTGCTGGCCGTCACCAACGACACGTTACTTGACACTGTGTCTTGAAATAAGACCATGAAATGCGGGGCCCATTGGAGTCCAGTTTGATGAAACTACCCACACGGAGCCCAGCGGCTCACTGTTCTCCGAGGGCGTTCCGGTGTGTGATCCAGACAATTGCACTTTTTGTTTTGTTTTGTTTCATAAGGAGCATGGAAGGGGAGGGTGACAGAAGGCACTGTGACCCAGGGAGGACCCGGTACCTGTGCGCAGGGAAACCCCTTCCCTGCGGGACGCCCGAGACTTTGCGTCCCGGTTTCACTGAGGTGTGACTCACCGACGGTGCCGCTCACCGGCTACGAAGCGCATCAAGTGTTGGGCTTAGGGTTCGGGGTCGCAGGAGGAAGCCCCGCCCCCTCGCGTCGCGCCAGGGGCGGTTCTTCGCGACTGGCGCCCCCACTGGGCACGGCCGGAACTTCACCCCTTTTGAGGGCGTGGTGGCGTCCCGCCACGCGCCAGCCTTTTCCATCCAGAGCTGGGGCCGTCGTCGGCGGCGACGTCCACGCTGTGTGTCCGGTGCAGCGAAGAGACCGCCCCGACGTGTTTCCGGGCCGCAGCACCTGTCCGTCCGTCCGCTCTGGGCCCTTCCGTGCACGACGGCCGTGGGCAGCGTGGCGGCCGTCCCGGCTCAGGCTCCCCGAGGGGGGGGTGGGGGGGGGTTGCTCTCAGGTTCCAGTGCTTCGGGCCCCGAGGCCGAGCGTGGAGAGGAGCAGGGCGCGAGCCCGCAGCCCGGGTGCATGTCCCGGGCCTCCCCGCGCGAGGCCGGGGCAGGTCCCGGGGCGCGGGGTTTCTCAGTGAAGAGAAGGTGGGCTTGGGCGCCGGGGGGTCCCGTTCGAACGTCTGCGTTGGCTCCTTCAGCACGTCGGGGGCGTGCCCTGCGTGTTGGGGTTCGGGGGGAGCTAAGGACGCAGTAGTTTAAAGAGGGCACGGTCCTGGCGGCTCGGGGTTATCGGGTCGGGGAGACAGACGGACACTAAACAAACCACCAGGTGAGTCTGCGGCTGCCTCTGGGGGCCGGCAGACCCCTGTTTTTGGGGACAGCGGGTCCCTGCGGGGGAAGTCGGGGCTCCCGGGCCCCGTGTCGGCCTGCGGCTGGTGTGGGCAGCCTCCCTGTGTACCATCGTGGGTTTGAGGCATCGTGGGGAGGGTGGGCCGGGAGCAGGCAGCCGTGGGGCGGGGAGGGGACTAGCAGAGGTGCCGGCGAGGAGGAAGACCCGTGGGGGTGGCCCCCGATACCCAGGACCAGGTCCTGAGACCCACGAGGTCTGCTCTCAGGGTCTCTTTGCCTGGATCTTCACCTGCCTTCCAGAAAATTCTGTCACACTGCCCTCCTCGTCTTCCCGTTCCCCCTTTTCATCTTCCTCGGAGGGCCGCTCCGGCAGGAGGCCTCGGGGTCCCGTCAGGCTGATGACGGGCAGGGGGTTCGAGAGCCGCGGGTGAAGGTGGAGGGGGCCTGGGGGGAGGTCAGCGGGGGGCTCTGTGCTGTCACAGTCGTCCTGCGTCACTGCATCTCAGGGACATTCACGTGCAGAGCTAACAGCATCACTGATGTACAGTTTATGTACCTTAAATCCACCCACTTAAAGCAAAAACAATTTATTGATTTCTAACCCACTTCCAGAGCTGTGTGGCTCTCACCACGCTGCAATTTTAAAACATTTCCATGACCCCCAAAAGCTCCTCGTGGCCATGCGTGGTCGGTCCCCATGCCTCCCCCCACCATCCCCCGCATCCCCCTCCCCATCCTAGGGAACCTCAAACCTGCTTCCTGGCTCCAAAACGTGACCGTGTCCGACTATTCCATGTTAACGGGCTCGGACGATACGGGGTCTCTGAGCCGTGTCTTCCAGGCTCATCCGTGTTGCAGCGTCCATTGCGTTCCAGTGGGTGGACAGTCCACATTTAGTTCACCTGCGCTCCAGGTGGTGGTTTTAAACACTGCAGGACAGGCCTAGACCCCCCCCCCCGCCTGGGGGGTCTGAGGGTCCCGCAGGGGCCTCTGCCGTGTGCGCGCTGACCTCTGACAGGCACAGAGGTTCACGCGCCGACTTGCAAGTTGATTTTTTTACCTTCTCTGTACACGCTGCATTGAAAGCGTAGACTGAATGAATAATAACGTCTTTGAAACGTTTCTCTTTCGGCTTCCAGTTCCCAAGCACATCCTCTCAGCGATCGACCCGGCCGTGGCCGACCCGAAGCCTTCTGTGAAGCAGGAAGACGGCGGCCAGGGTAACGCTCGCGGCTCGCGGCCAGCGCCCCTCGCCACAGGAGGGGACAGCGTGCCTGGTCGGTGCACTGGGCTCGCGCCAGGGGTCCAGGGCGCTGTGGCGAGCGGCTGCCCCTGGTGGCCGACGCTGCGTCTCGATTTTTCAACGCTCCACAGAATCAGTCCCCTCCCACTTCCTGGAAGAAAGATCGAGTCGATGGTGGGGGCTCCGCGGTGAGCTCGTGGGAAGGGTGCCCGTGGGGCACCCGGGTGCCGCCTGTCCCCACGGGGCCTCGCCGGACTCGGCCACGGCGGGTGGGATGTGGGTCGTCTGGTCAAAGCCGGAGTGGAGCCCCGGCCCTCCCAGGAAGGAGAGCAACCGCAGAGCACCTGTGAAGGGTGTGGCCTTCGGGCGGTGGGAGTGTCCGCCTGTGCTACTTTTATCGCCGACTTGGCGTCTGTCCCGCCCAAATGTGAACAGTGTGCCTGACGTGGGGAACTCGGGGGGCACCAGCACATGGGAGTCTCGCCTGCACTCAGGGCTCAGACGTCACCGCCCTCGGAGTCCCGCGGCTCTGCCCCGCACCCCGAGTCTCCCCACCCCGCTGTGCCGTGTGCTCTGCTCCCACAAACACCCTGGCCCCCGCAGCAGCGGCCGCAGCCCTGTGCCGTCCTTCCCCGGGGGTTTCGGCCTGTCTGAGCCCCCCAGGGTCCCCCGAGCCCCACGGCTGCCCCGTCGGCAGCTCCCACACTGTCGCCGAGTCTAACCAGGCACCTGAAACGGAGCCGCCCTGCATGTCACTGTCATTTCCCACAGCAGTCACCCGGCACAGCCGCCTCCGTGACGCGAGGCTGGCCCTCGCTGTGCCCAGCAGAGCGGGCGGCGGCTCTGCGGCTGAGTAACACGTCGCTACACGTGGCAAACGCCGTCGCCCGAGGGGCGGGAAACCCACGTGTTCCCCGCGGCAGGGGGGCGAGTGGGCGGCCCCTGAGCCGCCACCGGCCCCTCCGAGAAGGTCCGAGCCCCTGTCACCGTCCCGCACGCGCGGGGGCCGCTCACTGAACACGCCCCCTGCTCCGTCTTGTCTAGCTGCCGCAGATGCGCTGGGGACCGCCGAGCCCGACCCTGACGGTCTCGCCTCTGTTCGCGCCGCAGGTGTGAAGGTGGACGCGAGCGAGGCGAGGGTCCCGAGGAGCGACGGGGCCATTGTCAGCAGCTCTCTGGCGGCCTTCGCTTACATCAGAGGTAGGTCGGGCCACCGGCGTCGGGGGGGTGCTGTTTGGCCGCGGCGCTCCGACAGCTCAGGGGAAGCGACCGTGAGTTTGACACGGCGGCCGGCGTCCTGGGCTCCGCAGACACGGGGGCCTGCGCTCGGCACCGTTGCGGCCGGGCTACTAGAGGGAGCCTCCGTGGGGGGGGGGGCAGTCAGTGAGAGCCACGTGGGGAGGGGGCGGCTCCACGGGCATGTGACGGAGGTCACTGCAGGACGCACATCGGCCAGAGCCCAGGGCATGTCGCTCTCTGGGCAGCTGCTCTGGGTGTGGCCCGGCCCCTTACTGGGCAGTGAGCACAGGACATCCAGCGTCGCCCCTGGAGAGTGGGGCTCCAGGCCGCCGTTGAGGGGATGCCCCTGGGAACCCCGAGGGAGGAGCCTGCCTGCAGGAGCAGCTGGGCACCCAGTCAGCCAGGAAGGTTGTGGCAAAACCAGCCCGGCAGTCGGCAGACGCAGCAAATCCGAGAGGACGCTGCCCCGGGCCGGGCTGCAGGTGGCTCTGACGTGCCGGTGCGGCCAGGTGCACGCGGGGGACGCAGACAAGCCAGCAACACCGGGGACTCCTCCCGAGACGCTGAAACGCGGAGGCTGGTGGAACAGCCAGGAGAGCGTCCAGGGGCCCGAGGACTGTCTCTCTCTCTCTCTCTCTCTCGGCCGGTTCATGATCCGGGAGGCGGCATCTTCTCGGGAGGGTGTGGAGTCCCCTCCCTCCGTGTGGACCCCCCCCAACCCGCATTCCTTCTAGAGTTGAGGTCACAGGACCGAGAGGGCTCGGGGAAAGAACCTGAGAACACAGGAGTGGGAAGGGCGGTGTGTCTGTATGTCTCTGTCGTCCGTGTCCCCGTGTCCCCATGGGGCTGTGTCCCTGTGTGTTCCTGTGTCTGTGTGTGTCCATGTGTCCCTGTCTGTGTCCGTGTCCCTGTGTCTCCCTGTGTTCATGTCTCGTGTGTCCGTGTGTCCCTGTGTCTGTGTGTCCCTGTCTGTGTGTGTCCCTGTGTCTCCCTGTGTCTATGTGTTCCTGTATCTTTGTGTCCCTGTGTCTGTGTGTGTCCCTGTGTCTGTGTGTGTCCCTGTGTCTCCCTGTGTTCATGTGTCCCTGTGTCTGTGTCCCTGTGTCTGTGTTCCTGCATCTGTGTGTCCCCATGTCTTTGTGTCCCTGTGTCTGTGTCCGTGTGTCTGTGTATGTCCCTGTCTGTGTGTGTCCCTGTGTATCCGTGTCTGTGTGTCCCTGTCTGTGTGTGTCCCTGTGTCTGTGTCCCTGTGTGTCCCTGTGTCTGTGTGTGTCCCTGTGTCTGTGTGTCCCTGTGTCTGTGTGTGTCCCTGTGTCCCTGTGTGCCCGTGTGTGTGTCTCTCTGCCCACGAGTCTGTGTGTGCAGGTTCTCCGCAGGCAGCTTTAGAGCTGGCTCCCTGCCGCCCCCGCGCACGGCACCCGCGCAGACCTGTTCGGAGGGCGTCTCCCATCACCTCTGGCCAGAGCTCTCCGGACACGTGCTGTGTGTTTACCTCACACAACATGCCCTTCTCGGCCTTCAGATTCCTGTCGCCGCCCCATTGCTTGGGTCTGCATGTGTCCCGCCCCTGGCAGAGCTGCTGTGGACTCGGGGTCCCTGGGCCACGGAGGGACAGCCTGGGGTCGGGGCACCATTGTTTTGTCCGACAGGAGCCCAGGGCGTCAGGCAGACCCACGCTGAAACCCAAGTGCAACGGCCCCTCCCAAAGTCGGTCACGGGATCCCCTGCCCGGGGAGGCGATGGGAATCAGCAGCGCCCTGTCACCGAGGCGTGGACTGGAGCGTGTTCCCACGGTCCCTGATCCCGGGTCCAGGACGGGCAGCGGCTGTCACGTCAGCAGTGCTGTCGGGCCGGGTCTGGGCTCTCATGGGGGGGCAAGAGGGGGGGCAGGGGGCCCTCGCTCTGGCCTCTCACTGGCTTATTCGGACCCAAGTAAACTTGAGCTGGAGTTTCTGTTGGCTCCAGACCAGGGGTCCAAGGGTCAAGGGGCCTTCAAGGCCACGGCCACCATCGTGAGATTCCCGAGGCTGACGGGCGAGGCTGGACGGAAACACTGCCGCCGGCAACAGCACGGGGCGGAGGCTGTTTAACCACAGGAGACGAACACCTGTTCCCCCGCGATGTGGCCTCGGAAAAGGGGTCACAACCGCCGGCAGTGGTCCCATGGCTTCTAAACACATGCCGTTGGCGTAAAGGCTGGCGCTGTGGCGGGAGCCGGGCCTGAGCTCGGTCCCGGCCACTGGGTGGCTTTGGACCACGGGAGGCGCTCGGCCTGCCCACCTGCGTTGTCCCTTCCGACTTCCGGTGGCTCTGCGATGGCAGGCACATCGCTGCAGGTGACCAGAAAGCCTCGTTGCGAAGGGCTGGCCCAGGGTCCCCCTAGGGCCCTGGGTCGCCGGATCTCAGGGGCCCAGCGCGGACGCGCGGAGGGTGACTGCTCCACCGTGCGCCCACCTGAGCCAAGTCCACCTGAGCCAAGAGGCACCTGGGGGCCCGTGAGTGCGCTGCTCCCCTCCCAGCGGAATCCAGACACTCACCTCCCAGGAGAAGGGGGAGAGAGGACGGCAGGCAACTCACATTATGGGGTGCTACCCACAGGGCACCCCGTTCCTGAGTGCTTGAGCCCCTGGCCCCCCTTCAGACACTCCAGGGCGCCTCGTGGGCCCTGCTGGGCCCCGGGCCCAGGGGATCTGGCGAAGAACAGGGCAGGTCGGCCCCTCCCTCTTGACGCTGGCATCCTATGGGCGGAAAGGACGGACACGCCCCGCGGTTCACCCGAGATTCATCCGCGATTCAACCGCGGTTCAACCGCGATTCATCCGCGATTCATCCGCGATTCATCCGCGATTCATCCGCGGTTCAGCGTCTAAGACGCTGGGAGACCGGGAGACCCGGCCCAGGCTGGGGTGGATGGCACAGACCGCACACCCCAGGCGGATGCACCAGCGCGTGCAGAAGCCCCGAGGCGCAAAGAACTCCCGCCCCTGTGGGGAGTGGGGAGAGGCCAGTGCGGAGGGAGGGAGAGCCGGGGGCAGGGGGGTGGATCCTGGGACGGGGGCGGGGCCAGGCCGCAGGACGGTGATGGGAGCCGGCTGAGCTTTTCAAGAGCCTGCGCTGCCCGTGCTGCCCACGCTGTGCAGGGCAGGGAGGCGGAGGGAGAGAGCAGGGAGCAGCGGGAGGCGGGGGCCTGGGGGGTGCGCGGAGGACAGGTGGCATCGCACCAGCTTTTCAGAGAAATCCCCGAATCAGCAGCTGCCCCTGGCAGCCGCCCCCCGGGAGACCGGCAGTCACAGCAGTCAGGCTCGCGGACCGTTGCTGTCGGCAAGGCGGAGCGTGACCGTCTCTGCACGTGCGAGAAAAGGCAGCGCGACCCAGCGGAGGAAAGAGCGGACACGCTGCGCCGGCCCGTGTTTTGAGGAGAGGGGACACGGCCATCTGAAGAGAGGAGCGGGGTTGGGGGGACTTGGGATCAGGGAGACGCAGGTCAAGACCATAGCAAGATGCCGTCGTGTCCCTGTGACTGGAAAGGAAGGTCGCGTCTGCGTGGGCCAGGTGCTGGGGAAGATGAGCGGTGGCAGCCCCTCACAGGTACCAGCCGCTTGGGAAGCCCCTGGGGCCATGTGTCCTAGAATTCACCACCTTACACCTTCATCCGAGTGCCCTCCCGGCCGGTTCCCGAGAGAGATACCTGCTCAGGCGCACCAGGGGCACGTTGCGAGAAAGGGCACAGGTCACGGCCGCAGAGCCCGGGAGACAGAAACCCGGCGCCAGCCCAGACGCCCCGGCCAGGGCGGGGGAATTAACCCCACCGCAGTCAAGACCAGCGGCCCCCAACCCTTTGCACCCGGGTCCTAGCCGGTCACGGACGGGTACCGGTGTGTGGCCCAGGGGGTTGGGGACCCCTGGGCAGGACGATGAAGGAGAACACGGCAATGCCACGTTACGTGAAAACTGACAACCGCCACCAGCAAGGGTTTAGGGACACGCAGGGACGCGATGAACTAGACTGAAAGGTGGGCAGGGCGGCAATGGCCATGGAATCAGGGGGTCGTTACCTTGGTGGGGGCGCCCCGCCGGGAGAGGAGGAGGAGGGGAGACCCAGGCCGGACGCGGGTGTGGCCAGGCCCTCGCCCCGGGCCTCAGGTCTTGGTGCCGTGTTGCGTGTCGCTGGGTAACGGTGCCCCGGGTGCCAGCGCCCGCCAGTCTCGCGCTGCCACCGCTCCCAGAAACGACAGGCCCCTCCTCCTTTCACAGAGGATGCGTGTCTCCGTGTGACCGCATCTCCAGAAGGCCCCACACGAGGGCACAATCTGCTGTGACGAACGGCGCAGCGGGCGCCACGCTGGGGCCGAGGCTCCGGCGGCCTCAGGAGGGCGAGCAGACTGTGTGGCCCCAGGTGTGGCCACAAGGGAGACGTCGGCGTCAGGGGCGCCACGGCGACTTGAGCCACGAGTGCGGAAGCTGAGTGGGGAGGTTCCCAGTTTCAGGAAGATGCCGTGTCCCACGTGGGTCCTTCGTGTGAGGCCGCAGCCACTGGACCTTTGACCAGGCACGAAAGTCGGTGGCCCTCGGGCGCTCAGACTGCAGCCTGGATGTCGGGTGTGGGGGCCTTTGCCGTCCGCGGGGAGTGAGGTGGGTCCACGCAGCTGAGCTGGGCTGAGCCGAGCAAACATCGGGGTCCCAAAGGCACGGCCACAGGCAGCTCACAGGTCCGGGCCTGGCTCCCCCTGCGGAGACCACCAACCTCCAGGCAGCTTCCCGCCCGGGCTGCCGCTTCAGCCTGTGTGTCCCTGTAGGCCAACCACGGCCACGGGCTGACACGTCCTGACGCGTGATCAGAACGCAGGGCACTTGTGTCCACTCACGGCCGCAGCCACCGGGCTGAGTCGCGGCAGCACAGAGTGCGGGGCCCCCAATGCCGGACACGCTCCAGAAGCCCCTCCCAGGGACCGTCGGCCGGCTCCTGACCGGTGTTGGCGGGGCGTGCTGTGTCGCTGCTTCCCAAGGTGGGGGTGCTGACACCACAGGGGGGACACAGCCAAGAAACGGGGCGAGCTCCAGTCCTCTCCGCACGGGGTTAACGGAAGGCTCGGACCACGTGAGGGTTCAGACTAGGGTACTCGGCACAAATTAGCGTTATTTCTATTTGCCGTGCACTCGGCTGGATGGAAAAGAAACTCCCAGAACTTTTTTATTTATATTTACTGTTTAACCTGGAAGAAGTGAAGCTCTGCTTACATCTACTTAACGTTGATACTTACGTCCACATTTAAACTTACATATAAGTTAATTTATTGTAGTTTGCTGCTGCTAACAGCTGACAGCTTACTGAACATTTCCTCTGCGTCACTGGGTGTTGTGGTAGCTATTCGAGAAGGAATTCCTTCCTCCTGACCCTCTGTGGGAAGAGGGAGCGGCCAGCCCGGTTCACAGAGGAAGAAACTGTGTCGCGGAGAGGTCACGTGACTTGCCGGAAGCCGCACAGCGAGGAGGGTCAGACCTGAGTCTGAGCCAGGGGGACCGCCCTCCAAGTCCCTCCGCTCTGTGTGCTACCGCGCACACACACGTGCTGACCGCACGTGCTGCACAGCTCTTTTAACCAGCGGGGGGCGGGGTGGGTGAGGTGGGGGTGTCCCCGGGCCTCTGGCGGGGACCGTGGCCCCTCCCAGCCGCTGACTGACCCGTCCTCTCGCCCCCGCAGCCCACCCCGAGAGAGCCGCCCTGCTGTTCGTGTCCAGCGTCTGCATCGGCCTGGCCCTCGCGCTGTGCGCCTTGGTCCTCAGGGTGCCCTGCGCCAAGGACTGGCGGGAGCTGCAGCTGGCGCGGGAGCGCCTGGTGCCGGGCGGCGATGAGGCCGCGGAGGACAGCGAGGACGCAGACGGGGAGGAGGACTCCTCGGACTCGGATTTCCCCGGGGAGCTGCCGGGGTTCGGCAGGACTCCGCGCCCTGCGTGCTCGTCCGTCGAGGCTGCGGAGCTGGCGGAGAGGATTGAGCGGCGGGAGCAGATCCTGCAGGAAATCTGGATGAACAGCGGCTTGGACGCGTCGCTGCCGAGGAACGTGGGGGCCTTCTGCTGAGCGCCCCAGGCGCCTGCTGGCCTCGCCCCTCCGAGCGCCGGAGCGCCCCGGCGCCCTCGGCTCGGCCTCACCTGTACCTTCTGTGAAGGAGCCTTTGTCGCCACCGACACCTGGTGAAGCCAGGAGGGGGCCTTCCGAAGTGTTTACAGCACATTTCCAAACAAACGCTGCGGGCGGGCGTCGCTGTCCGCTGCGTCCGCTCCCAGCGGCGTCTGCGCACCCGCGCGCTCTCGGTTCGCGCTCCGGGGCGTCGCTGTCACCGGCTTGCACGAATTCGGCCGTTCCTCCACGCACAGCCTCCGCAGACGGTGCCGGCCTCCCCGTTCCGCCGAGGCGCAGGCAGGGCGCCCCCGCGTCCGCCCGGTGAAACCGCAGCTGCCCGGGGCGCAGGCGCGCTGCCCCGGCCGCGCGGCCACGTGGTGGGCGGTCATCCCCACGCTGCTCCGTGGGCGCGGGGCGGCCAGATGCTTCTTGGATGGAAAGAAGACACGGATTTCAGGGTTCTGCGTGGGCCGTGGCCACTCCACTCCGCCCGGGGCTCCAAGGCAGCCCCAGCGCATCAGGAATGAAGGGAACTGACTGCGTTCCAATAAAACTTTATTTATAAGCCTTGACTTCTGAATTCACTTTCACACGCGCATGCTATCCCTCTTTCGGCCTCAAATACGTGCTGTCTTGCCCTTTACAGGAAAAGTCCGCCGGCTCCTAGTTTGGAGGTTAAAACGGTGGGGCTTCCAGAGGAAAACGTGGTCGTTGGCCGGGGTCCGCAGCCGTTCCGTGCACAGGGGCCGGTGGAGCTACCCTCAGGTTGCTGCAGAAATGGGGTCCTGCCCCTGGAGGGAGGTGGGGGTGCGAGAGGGCGCCGGAGCGAAAGGAGTTGATGCGATGACCCCGAGGCTCCTGGTGGGAGAGCCGCGTCCCCCCACCCCGCCCCCTGCTGGACAGGAGGCTTATAGCTGGGGGCTCAGAGGGTAAGATGACGGCTGGGTCTCTGTCCTGTGCCCAGCCGGACAGCTCTCCCGGCCCGATCGTCCTCGTGGGCATGTCCACCCGCACACAGGGGTGTGTGTGGATGAGGACGGGAGGCTGGTGGGTCAGGTCCTGGGCCCAGGTCACAGGGCGCGAGGTGCCAGAGCCGCCAACCGGGAGGCGGCCAGGAGATGCCAGGCGCCTGCCCCAGAACCCAGTGGCCAGGGAGACGGAGAAGGGCTCCTGGGTCAGCCCCCAGCTCCGGCGCGGGGAGCAGAGCGGCCAGGTGTGGGGCGGACTCTGGAGTCTCTGCAGCGGGCCCAGCGGCCGGACTGGGCGGTAGGTGGGGGCGGGCACCGCAGTTTTGTGGGCTGCATTCAGTTTGTCTGAGCTCACGGCCCGCTGTGACCGAATTCCTGTGCACCGGGCGGCCGGCCGTCAATCCCCCCAGTTCCGGAGGCCGGACGTCTGAGCGCGAGGGGCTGGGAAGTTCAGCAGCGTCTGGCGAGGCCTGGCGTCGGTGTCTGCAGACGGCCATCGTCCTGCTGCGTCCCCCTGAGGCAGGAGGCGGGGGAGCTGGGGGGGTGGGGGTCTCTCTGGTAAGGGCGCTAATCCCGCCCGTGGGGGCTGCAGCCTCGTGACCTGCTCTCCTCCCAAAGGACCCGAGGCCCATCGCCATGACTTCCGCTCCAGGACTCCCTGCCCCCTGCCCCGCCTCCGCTCGGTGGGGGAGCAGGGGGCGGGGCTCCAACCAGGGTTGGAGGAGGGGCTGCGGACGGAGCGCGGGCTCTGCCCAGGGCCCGGCCTGGCTCCGAGCAGGCCTGGGCGGCAGACACCCTGCTGCTTCCGCACGGTGGGTCCCGGGAGCCCGGCCCAAGAGGCCAGCCTTGTGGGGGGAGGTTCGCCCACGGCGGCACCTCGGTGACGGTGACCTGCTGTGCACTGACGGGAGCCCCTTCGGGGCTGCGGCGGCTCCGCAGATGCCGGGCTTTGCTCCCTTCTGGGAGGGAAGCACGTCCAGGGACCAGCAGGCCACGCCTGTTCGTCTGCGCCGACGCCCCCCCACCCCCCACCCCGCCCCGGACCCTGGAGCCACACGGGCTTGCTCTTCGGGGGCCACTCGCAAAGTTTTCCACAAGTGCTGCGGCTGCACTTTCTCTTCCTTATGGTTTTCTTTGTTGTTGTTTAGTCCTCACCCAAGAACACCTTTCTTCATTGCTGAGAGAGAGAGAGAAACATCGATGGGTTGCCTCCTACATGCCCCCCAACCAGGGTTTGAACCTGTAACCCAGGCAGGTGCCCTGACCAGGGTTTGGACCCACAACCCTCTGGTCTGTGGGACGGTGGTCCAACCCACAGGGCCACTGGGCCAGGACCCTTTTGATTTCCTTGATACCGTTTTCTCTTCTCGGTGTTACTTTGTGGTGAAAACACAGTGAGTGACGCAGTAACACACAAAATGTGTCGCTCCAGGGCCCGTGCCCACCAGGAAGGCTTCTGGTCTGCAGGGGCCTGTTGGTTGCTACGCTGTTGGGGAGTTGGAAGCTACAGGTGGATTTTCAACAGCACAAGGGGCCAGCGCCCCGGGTCCCGCACAGCTCCAGGGTCAGCTGTGACACGACTCAGAGGCTGGCCCCTCCGCCACAGGGGACATGTTTCAAGTGCTCGGCACCCCTGGCCAGCGGCGCCTGCCTCAGGCAGCTGCCCCGCCGGGCGGTGCTCAGCCTGTGTGTGGAATCTGCCGCAGAGACACGGGCCCCGCACCGTGACGAAGTGGAGGGTGGTCTCCCTGGGCCTCACCGACCCAGGGTGCGGGCAGAGAGGCGGGGCCCAGGACTACCTGCTCCCTCCGCAGCTCACCCTCCTGGTGGCGGCCCCACGTGACCCCAGGCTCCAGCGCCTGAGGTCGGTCCTCCTGGAGTGCCTGGGTGCACGAGCGCCAGAGCGGCAGCCTCCGCCTGCAGAGGGGACTCAGGGGCTCAGCCCGCCCCCGCCTGTCCTCAGCGGGGCCCGCCCCCGAGCCGAGCCTCTGACTCCTGCAGCAGATTTTAGCTGGCTGAGCTCCACCCAGCGAGTCTTTATGTCTTGGAAATAACCAAATTACAGGTAAATTCTGCCGGAGAAACAGAAATCAGGCCCCCACAGTGCATGACCCCCCGTGGACGCTGTAAGATGCAATTAACACAGGTGAAGCAGATGTCTGTCGAGGGCCCGACCGGTTCTTTCTAGCAGAGCGCTTCTTCGGAAGGTTCCGGATCTCCGTCTGACGATGACCACTCAGCCTGGCTGCACTACCCCTCGGGGGAGCCGGCGGAAAGCCCTGCCGGGGTTCATCTCGGGTGGAACTGCTGCCTTCCTGCCGTGGGGCCAGCTGCCCGCGGGACCGTGGGCCTGGGCGGCGGGGCTGGGCGGACAAAGAGAGGAAAGCTGGTCACTTCCGACGGGGACGCGTTTCAGCCCCCGGCACTTTCTCCGCTCCAGTGCGTGACTCCGCGGACGGGGTCCTTTGGGGAGAAGACAAACGGGCCTTGTCATTTCCTCTGGTTTCAAAGACCGAGTCCAGCCTGGCAGAGGCCGGGGCGGGAGGGAGGGACGCGGGTCCCGAGGACTGGACGCCAGGCTGACCTGCTCCCGGTCCGAGGAAGGGAGGGGCGGCACCCGGAGGCCCGTGTCCAAGCGTGACGTGGCCTCCCTGACGGAGACAGAGGACAATGGTCCCTGCTTGTGACAATGAGCCAGCAAGAGTGCGTGTTACTAACCTGCAAAGAATTTGCCAACCCAGGGAGTTGCCTCCCGGCTGGGAGCTGCTGGACTTCCTTCCTGAGACCCTGACCTTGGCCCGCAGAGCCACGAGTCCTGGACAGCGGGGCCCGGGGACAGCGCAGCGTGGGCGGCCCATAGACGGGACTCTCGGGCCGCTGGGCAGGGGGTTCAGCTGAGCGGGTCGGGCCCACATCACTCTGCTCACGCACGAGAGCAACTTTTCTCCTGGAAGACGTCTGGGGAGAAACTCCAGCTGCCCTGGAAAAATCATAAATAGTGAAGATGTGCCCAGTGGTGCTTTCAAATGCGGTGGAAAAACTCTCCAAGGCCTGTTGTCAGGGGAATGTGGCAAGGATGGACCGATACATGGGCGATGGTGCCGATCGTGTCGAAGAAGGCGGCTCCACATGGAGCGATGCTTTGGCTCTGCCCTCCGCCCCCAACACTCGCAGGCCTGCGCAGAGGGGTCTCAGAGACCCCGCGGCCAAACCTGGACAAGCTTCGTGATGCAAAAAGGGTGCGTCAAGTATGTTCTTCCCTACCTGGGCCAATGTGCCTTGATAATGACCTTGAAGACCAGGTTCAAACTTAAAATCCTCAGGCTCTGCAGGGTCTGGGGCCAGGACGTGGCTGTGTGGGGGCAGCGGCCTCAGCAACCCCCCCCCCCCGGCTCGGGCCCACTTTTCTCTTCCCACCTGCCTCTGTCCGTTTGTGTGAGGGGCCTCGCTTCTGCGCTTACGGACCAAGCGCTGGTGCCCGCCCCTCCCCCCACCCCCCAAACAGCCCCTACCCCTTCGACCCAGGGCGTGGCCTCAGGGACAGATGCCGGGAGGTGGCCGTGTGGGCCCTGGTCTCGGTCGTGTGCTGCACAGCTGAGTGACTGCGTTCCCGGCCTGCCATCCGAATGTTCTTAAACGTCTGTCTTCCTGAGCCCACCGCTCATGCTTTCTCCGGAGAGGGGGGTGCGTGGGGCGGAGCCGGGTCTGGGCCTCGGGCGGACACTCCCCCAGCCGCTCCCCAAAACGCCCAGCTCCCTCCTCCCTCACTGGCCGCCTGCAGACCTGGGCCGCTACCCTCCGCCCCCCAGTCTCCCGTCCCCAGGAGGGAGGCAATGACGTCACACAGCTCTCGGGGGCGTAGGGAGGGGTCCCCAGGAAACGGAGGAAAATGGGTCCTCAAAGAGGCGCGAGGTCAGGACGAGAGGAGGAGAGCAGTGAGGGGAAGGTTTTACACGGGGGCTTTCTCGCCCCAGAGGGACCGCAGAGGGGTTTCGGGGCTGAGACATTTGGGAGACTCTTCTTTCTTGAGGTCGTCCTGGACGTCCTGTCCCTGGGAGCCGGGACGTCCCCTCGTCCACTGCGGCACAGGTTCCCAGGAGCCCCGAGGCCCTTCCGGGTCACCGCTTCTGCATGACCTTTCCAGATGCCCCTTTGCATGCTGACGCTGTCTTCTCTCTGCCTCCCTCGAGGTGATGGCCGGGCACCGCGTGGGACCGTGCGGGGCATGCAATTCAAAGAATACGGCCTGTCCCGGCCCTCGGGGAGCTCACACGAGCCGGGCGTGGCAGACAAGAGCAACGGACAAGTCCAGAAAGCCCGTGGCGGGAAAGCGCCCTCAGGGCGGGCGGCCTTTGCAGCAGCTCCGCCCCTGCCGGGCACCGGCTGGGCGCCCCACGGAGCAGCTCGCCCAGGAAGCCGCCGCCGGGGCCGGGCCTCCTGCGTGGGGTCTCACAGCTGCTGCCTCCTGCGTGGGGTCTCACTCCTTATCGGTCTTCTCGTACTTTTCCGTCAGGTTCAGCGGCGTGCATCTTTGAGGAATCCGTTCATTTCTTCTAAGTTACCCAACTCATTAGCATGTAAGTGTCCGTGGTCTTCTCTTACAA